GACAGTAATATTGCCAAGAGGTTTAAAACTCGAGAATGTGCTTTATGTCCTCAATTAACTTGCAACTTAATTTCTGTGACTCAATTAAATGATGAATCCAAGTGTATGATGCAATTTACTAACAAAATATGTGTTATGCAGGACCCGCAGACGAGGAAGATGATTGGTGTGGGTGAACGCAAGGATGTACTGTATATATTCCGTGGTGTTCCTCAAGTGAAGGTTCTAGCAGTGGAAGGAGATTCTTCGTTTGAATTATGGTATCAACGGATAGGACATCCCTCAGAGTCAGTGTTGCGAATGATTCCGAATATGAGTAGTTCTTTTAGGAAAAATAATAAAGTTTGTGATGTTTGTCCTCGTGCAAAACAATCTAGAAGTAGTTTTCCAATTAGTGAGAATAAAGGAAGTCGTATATTTGAACTTGTGCATATAGATCTATGGGGTTCGTATAAAACCCCTTCTTCATGTGGTGCCCGTTATTTTTTAACAATATTTGATGATTTTTCTAGAGGAGTGTGGATTTATTTATTGAAAAATAAAACAGAGGTTGAATTAATTTTTTGAATTTTGTTGCAATGGTGAAAAAACAATTTGATCATGTTATTAAAATTGTTAGGAGTGACAATGACACGGAATTTAATAATTTGAAGGAATATTTTCATTCTAATCGCATGATTTTTGAAAAATCGTGTGTGGGAACCCCTCAACAAAATGGGAGAGTAGAGAGAAAACATGAACATATTTTAAATGTAGCCCGAGCTTTGATATTTTAAGGGAATTTGCCATTAAAATTTTGGGGTGAGTGTGTTTTAGGAGCATGTCATTTAATTAATAGAACTCCAACTCTTTTACTTGACAACAAAACTCCTTTTGAAATATTATTCAATAAACCACCGTCTTATGAGTATATTAGAGTTTTTTGTTGTTTGTGCTATGCTCACAATCAAAGGAGCAAGGGGGATAAATTTGCAAGTCATAGTAGAAGGTATTTTTTTTGGGATATCAATTTGGGAAAAAGGGTTGGAGAGTTCTTGATTTAGAGACCGGGGAGTTATTTGTGTCCCGTGATGTGATATTTTTTTAGAGTGCTTTCCCATTTATTGAAGAATCGGTGAAGGCAAATACGGGGGTACATGAGCAGCCTCGGTTGGGGGTGGTAGATTAAGCTTATTATAGTGATGATGAGGGGTGGGGTGTTTCATATGAGGAGCCCGAGGTGCAGCACCAACAGCAACCCGTAGCCCAGCAGCAGCCAGGTGGTGCTGAAGACGCTGCACAGCCCCGAACATCCCCTGTCCAGCCCGCAGCAAACCTAGCGGACGCTGGCAGGGGGTATGCGCTTGCGGGGCAGCAGCCAGGGGGTGAGCAGCAGGGTGTTGAAGGGGATGCCGAGCCTCTGCAGCAGCGTGTGGAGGGGAATGTTGAGGCCTTAGGGAAAGGTAAACGACCGAAGATACCAAACACTAAATATCGAGATTTTGTCACTCACACAATACGGAAATACAGTTCATCTTCAAGTACATCGACTCCTATATCATCTTCCTCAGGTATTTTTTATCCTCTCACATATTTTGTTGATTGCTCACGTTTTTCTGAGAAACATTAAAAGTATATTGCAGCTATAACAACAGGGAATGAGCCTAGTTCTTTCAAAGAGGTAATGAAACATGCACGTTGGCGAGATGCAATGGCTGGAGAGATAAGCGCTCTAGAAGAGAAAGGCACTTGGGTACTTCAGAAACTTCCACCAGGGAAGAAAGCCTTGGGAAGTAAGTGGGTATATACAGAGAAACGTGATGAGAATGGGAACTTGTTAAGATTGAAAGCACAATTGGTGATATTAGGCAATCATCAGGTGGAAGGTCTTGATTACAATGAGACATTTGCGCCAGTTGCAAAGATGACTACAGTTCGAACATTCCTAGCAGTAGCAGCAGTGAAGAATTGGGAAGTACATCAGATGGATGTGCACAATGCCTTTTTACATGGATATTTGGAGGAGGAAATTTACATGAAAATTCCTCCAGGTTTCAATAAAAATAACTCTGATTATTATGTGTGCAGGATGAAAAAATCATTGTATGGTTTGAAACAGGCTCCCAGATGTTGGTTTGGAAAATTAACTGCAGCTTTGAAGAAGTACGGATTTAAGCAATCCTACTCAGATTATTCTTTGTTCACATTTACCAAAGGAAAATTGCAGTTGAATGTGTTGATATATGTTGATGACTTGATTGTTGCAGGGAACAATAAAGAAGCTTTGTCAAAATTTAAGGCATACTTAGGAGATTGTTTTAAGATGAAGGACTTGGGAGTATTAAAATACTTACTAGGACTTGAGGTTGCGAGAAGTAAGCAGGGAATCTATATTTGTCAACGGAAATATGCATTAGACATTATTTCTAAAACTGGTTTGTTGGGAGCTAAGCCTGCAGATTTCCCAATGGAACAAAATAATAAATTAGCTCTTGCGGAAGGCAGAGTTTTGGAGGATGTGGAGAAATATAGACGGTTTGTTGGTCGTCTGATTTATTTATGTGTAACTAGGCCGGATCTAGCATATTCTGTTCATATTTTATCTCAGTTTATGCAGAATCCAAAGGAAGCACATTGGGAGGCCGCACTTAGGGTGGTGCATTATTTGAAGAAACATCCAGGGCAAGGAATACTTCTTCGCTCGGTAGTGAATTGCAACTTGAAGGTTGGTGTGATTCTGATTGGGCTAGTTGTCCTTTGTTTAGGAGGTCTTTGACGGGTTGGTTTGTGTTGCTTGGTTTTTCCATAATATCATGGCGGACCAAGAAACAACCCACAGTTGCTACATCATCTGCGGATGCGGAATACAGGTCAATGGCGGCTACAACATGTGAACTAAAGTGGTTGAAACAAATACTAAGAGCTTTGGGTGTACAACATTCGCAGGGTATGAAATTATTTTGTGATAGCCAATCGGTTTTGTACATTGCTAAAAATCCAGTATTTCATGAAAGGACGAAACATATTGAAATTGATTTGCATTTTGTAAGAGATGCAATTCAGGAGGGACTGATTTCACCTTCGTATGTACCTACGAAGGAGCAGCTAGCAGACATTTTTACCAAAGCCTTGGGGAAAGCTCAGTTCGAGACACTACTTTCCAAGTTGGCAATTCCTAACCTCCATGCTCCAACTACTTGAGGGGGGATGTTAAGATAAGGAAGAATATCTTAGGGAATATATTTGATTTATTTGTATTTATATTGTGTTATATTTAGGTAGGATAATATTTACTAAATATTTCCTGAGATAGATATGAATTAGATTCCTACGCTAATTAAGTTTCTAAGAGATGTGTATAAATATTTAATTGATGATGAATAAAAAGAACAAGACTTTGAGATTATCTTGACATATATAAATTCATCACACATTTTAGGACCAAAGTACGCAGTAATTGTAGTAATACTTTTCCATATAATAATTCAATTTTGTGACAAGTAAATATGGAAATTAATAGAGAAAAGTGTGAAAAAGACCTTTTAAGCGGTTGACTTTTTGAAAAAGGACCTTTTAAGTTGTATTTTGTTTGTATGGGGTACTTAGATGAGCTTGCGTGGTAGTCAGTGGTGGTCAACACCGGAGTTTTAGCGTTGATTATTACGTGTTAGTCACAAGACTTATTTTAAAATAAAAAATAAAAAATTTCCCCGAATTTCCCTCCTTTCCCGACCGAACCCTTTCATTGAATGCTCTGCTTCAATTTGGGTTAAGTCGGGAAATGAGGGAAATTTGGGGAATTTTTTTTTAAAAAAATAAGTCACGTGACTAACATGTGATAGTCCCGGCGTTGACCATCACGCAAGCTCACTCAAATACCCCATACAAATAAAATACAATTTAAAAGGTCATTTTTCACAAGTTTTCACTTAAAAGGTCCTTTTTCAAAAATTCGGACACTTAAAAGGTCCTTTTTTACAATTTTCTTAAATTAATATCCCATGCATAGTAGGATATATTTATAACATTATGAAGCAACGTTGACAAACCAAGGCCATATCGAACACTTAGTTATTTTATTCAAAAATTAAAAGATAAGCAAATAATAATAATAAATAGGAAATTTTGCAAAAAACCACCTTTTAAATCTTGTTTTTTTGCAAAAAACCACCTTATAAAAAAATTGTTGCAAAAGACCACCTAATTACAAAAAAATGCTGCAAGTTACCACCTAGTGCCGGAAACAAAGAGTTGACCCATTACTCTGGAGTTGACCTTGATCACGTGCTAAACACGTGACCCTAAATGACCCTTTTTTCACTCCCCTCATAAGTCATAACTATCCTCACGTGATTAAATGGAGGGCAACCCAACAATAATCACTGCCGTCACAACCACCAGTCCACCACCAGCGTCAAGTCTTCAACCAATGGCCACCCACCACCGCCATCACTCATCTGTTATCTTTCTAAAGCAAGCTTAGATTATTTCTTTCTCTCCTCTCTTTCCCCCAATTTCTGCCATTTCTAGGGTTTCATCATAGCTTCAAAAATTCAATTTTTTTTTTCATTCCATTCACAAAATCAAATACCCACTAAGTGAATTAATCAAAGAAGAAGATGCAAATCAAAATGCTAACAGAATTACAATTTTCGATAGATACATGGATCCCAAATTTAAAGGCCACCATTTCTCACTCTCATAAAGATCATTGTTCTAGCATTACCTCTTATTCTTCTTCTTCCCCAATTGACTTTACTCATCTCATGGGTTGTAATGGCGAAGAGGATAGGTATTCAGTTGTCTTTGTTGGCCTTCATGATTTTCTTAATGCAGGATAATGCGAGTGAATGGTTCTTCGAAATGTTGGTAGTTTCGATTATTTGGCATTGGTTGTAGAACCGGAACATTTGTAATCGCTTTTGTTGTTGGAGAAGGTGGTGATAAGGGCGAGGCAGCACGACTGTGGGTAGCCAATGGTTGATGCCGGTGGTGCTTGTGAGAGAGGCATTTTTTATCGCCCCCCCCCCCCCCCCAATTATTGCTTCTAGTGAGTAGTTGTACTTGTGGGAGAGGAGAGAAAAATGGAGGGTGATTAAGGTCACATGACCAAGTCAACATCGGAGTAATGGGTCAACGCCGGAGTAGTTGGTCATATAGTCACTTTCCGGCAATAGGTGTTAAATTGCAACATAATTTTAAAAAATGGTGGTCTTTTGCAACTTTTTTTTATAAGGTGGTTAATTGCAAAAACCGAGATTTAAAAGGTGGTTTTATGCAAAATTTCCTAATAAATACAGTAGTGTCTACATATGAATCGAAACACCACATAATTAAGCAATTTGTATAAATAGTCCAAAGTCGTGGAAGAATTAGGAGCTAAACTTTGATTGGAGCTTCTTCACAATTTATTCATCTAGCTGGAAGGCCTTGCTTAGAACATCCACAGAGATAGGTGGCTTAGCCCCAAACACGACATTAGCAATAGTGTGACCTTGTCAGGGTTTTGGCTGCTTAACATGGCAATAGCAACAACAGGTTTTTTTCCAGCATTGAATTGAAAATGAATGAGACCTTGTGGAAAAACAAAAACATCACCTTTGTTAAGAACCTTCGCGAACAATTTGTTTTCTCCATTTGGAAGGTTGGAGGTTACGAAACCAACGTAGAGGGTTCCTTCCAAAACGGTAAGGATTTCACTTGCACGAGGATTAGTGTGAGGGGGGTTTAGGCCATAGGGCGCGTAGTCAAACCTAACCAAAGTTATGCCGAGGGTGTGGAGCCCTGGAAGTTGTAACACGGAGGCTGGTGTAAAACTGAAACCTAACATGTTGTTAGTGTTTCCTGGCTTGTCTAGCCCTTCCAAAAAGAAATCCTCGGGTGTGGCATCCATTAGATTCTTACAGAATAATCCATTCACAAACGCTGCAAATTAGTAAAAACCGTTAACATCGATTTAAAAAATGAAGTATTAATTGATGAAAATAAAAATTATTCAAATCGTTTGGATCTATTGTGACAAAAGAAAAAAAAAAACATACGTTCTTTGTATGGATTATTAACCGCAACACAGAAATCTTGTAATTGTGTAGGATCCGTTGCGTAGGCCATATAGGAAGACATGGCAAAGAAAATAAGGCAAGCAAGAAAATGACGAGCTTCCATCATTTTTTTTTCTTATGAAATTTGTATAATACACTCGATATATAATTCAAATTCAAGTTGTGATCCCGTTATATAGTTGAGGTTAGGGAAGCTATTTTTTATTTTTTTGGGTGCACACGAGGGGGGTAGGCCCCAGGAAAGCTAGAATATGGTTCAAAGACGTACGTAAATACGTATAATTGGTCGTTAATTATGAAACTAGTGTAGTTAATTAATGTAATGAACTTCTTCACTTAACAGGTCATGACTTTGTCTATCTTGACACAGACAAGTAGGATACTTAATCAAATAACTACTAGCGTGTGGCCCGGATGCCCCGGGTTGCTAGTTTGTACTTGTTGGTTTCGAGTTTAAGTCTTGCTATAAATATATTTTAGTTGTCAAATTCAATTATTACATAATGAAAATAAATAGTATAATAAAACACGAATTAACTTATCTAAATTAACTATAATTTTGTTGGATAAAAAATCACTATTAGTAAATGGCTAAGATGGTAAGACTTGTTGGTCTTGATTTCAAGTCTTGTCATAAGCATTATGTTGTGAAGGTGACATGTCATGTTTATAGTGACATGTGGCACATATTGCTGACATGTAGAACATATTTTGTTTTAGGAACACTTTTTAATATATAAGTATAGATTTCCAAAAGAATGACGTTTTAATGAATAGACTTTTCATAGGTGAATTTTCTAATTACATGAAAAAATTAAAAACCCAAATAAAGTTGCAAGTTAATTATCCAACTTACCTATCAATATTTCATTTCATAAAAAAGCTGAAACAATACGAGTTTATCCTACTTACGTACGTATCTATATTCAATTTCATAAAAAACTGAAACAATACAAGTAGGAATTATGAGCAAAATCAATTATTTCTAACAAATCTTGGATGGAAAATTAATGTGTTAGCCATTGGGGGGGGGGGGGGCAGGGGCAATAAGCCCAAGCAAGTTATACATACGGAGTATACTTAATTTGTTGAGCTCATGAACAACTCATATGTGAACATTTTTCTTGTCCCACACTAAACACTAAAAGGGAGAGTGTAATGGTAATGAAATTCCACATTGAAAGAATTCAAGAGTTACCACCACAATATAAGGCTAAGGGACTACTCCCCTAATTGCCATATAGTTTTGAGGTGGAACCTCTTTGGTGTTGTAAGTGGTGAACTTGCACTCTCCCGTAATGAATGCGGCCCAGACCCGTATTTGACATCATTAGTGATGGTTGAAAATTTTATTCAATTTTATTTGTCATTTTTTACATGCTACCAAATGGGTTACGTAACGTTGTTAATGTATTTTGTACTTCATATATAACTAGGATCGGATTTAAGATTTAACCAATAGTCTAGACCTTGTGAATTCAAGATTATTGATGTCACTATATGTAATTACTACGATTACCTCTTGATGTTTATACATTAAAAACCCCCTCCGATCCCCTGGCAAAAGTGCGTAGTTCAATTTTTCGTACTATTTGCCTTCTTATTCTTCTACTCGTAGTATTTTGCTTGTTTAATCATAGTACAAATTCAAGTACTGTAGTGTTAGTTTAGATGAACTACTACGAGAGGGGGGGTAAATGGTAGTAGGTTCCAATCGCGGAATTTATGCGGAAATAAACAATAAAAACATAAATAAACTTAAAGCACACAGCAAGTTTTACGAGGAAACCATTCAGTGCCTAACTGGAAGTAAAACCTCGGCCCTATTGGGACTTATAAACAAATTCCACTATAATAGGCAACTCTCCTAGTACAACCTATTACACAGACCTTTGCTTCGCAAGTTCCTCCTAAGACACTTGCTAATTGATAAGAACCTATCCTATTAGACCTAAGACAAACTCAGGCACCTTTTTCGACCCAAGACACACTCAGGTTCCTTTCTCGACCTAAGACACACTTAGGTTCCTTTTTCCCATTGTGCAACCCAAGACACACTCGGGGTGACTGACTACCACTCGAATTTTAGAGAATTCAAACTCATACACTCAAACGTGAATTTAAGAGAATTCATAATCTCACCCCCAAAACCAATTACAACGCAAAGACACACTCTAACACATAAATGGAAAGCTACACATGAAACCCGAAATCAAAATGATAAAGCTTAAACCTTTGGCAAACTTACTCTTAAGCACTAAGTGGTTTTCACGCTTAAAACTCTCATTTTGCTAAGCTGAAGTACTTCTATATTTATAGGAGTTTCTCAGCTACACAAACTAGGATTTTCGCAAACAAGATAAATCAAACAGAAATCTGATCTTATCTTCTTTAAAATCGAAATCAAAACAGATTTAATTTCGCTTTATCTGAAAACCAATTTCATCAAATTCGTTTTAACTAAAAGATAGAATTATATGAAAAAGATAAAACCAAGTTAAATCAGATTTTATAAGATAAAATCAATTAAGTATTTTTTCATAAAACTAAAGTTATCTTTTACGAATTAATTAGCTTGCCAAGCTTTATCTGATTTCTAATAAGTTCCATGCATAACAACTATTAATATGCTTACATCAACCTACAAAAACAAACTTATCTTTTATACAACTATAAGTTATGAAGTCCATCTTTTTTGATTGATATCTTGATCTTTGCACTAATCCTTGGTTATTGAGGCTTGCCCCAGCATTACACCGGAACCAGGTCGTTACAACCCGTTTTGAAGTTCATGTTGAGAAACTTCGGGAAGTTCCATTGCTGGAACTCTTCTTCTGTCTTTTACTTGTTCTCATGGATCTTCTAAAGTTCCTTTGTCCCATTTCCTACTTCAGCCCTCTACGCTTACTGAACCTGCAAACATCACAACACTAGAAAATCCTTATTAAAAGGAAGTTTGCTCAATTCTTAACATCATCATCAAAACCTCACAAGGGTCAACATGTAGGGTTTTGAATTCTTTGTTGCTCGTGTCATGCTTAATAGTCAAGATTAACAAGGACTATGAGTCTACATTCAGTATGCTAGTTTTGTTCACAACCGTACCAAGTCTAAGCCATCAGGCCTATCGCCCCTCAAGCTAAGTTAGAAACAGACTTCTTTGCTGTGAGTGTGTGATCCAGGACAGTGCATTAATTTATTTGGGAAAATTTTATTCTTTAATATTAAACAACATGAGTTACTAACTAACATATTTCACAAAATTATAATGTTAGTTCAAGTGTTGATAACATTGACTTTTCTCATTTAATTTTTATAAGCTCCATATCTCCCCTACTATGTTCAGACATACGAAGTAGTTTTTTTTTTGTAATTTTTTTCTTTTTTTTAAATTTTTTTTTTTAAATTTTTTATTTTTTATATGTTACATCGTATATGCATTCATCACACATTATATGACCAAACTACGTAGTATTGTAGTAATTGTAGTAATACTTTTCCATATAATAATTCAAATTTGTAACAAGTAAATATTAAAATACGGAAATTAATATCCCATGTAAAGTAGGATATATTTATAACATTATGAAGCAACGTTGACAGACAACCAATAAGGCCATATCGAACACTTGGTTATTTATTCAAAAGTTAAAAGATAAGCAAATAATAGTAAATATAGAAGTGTCTACATATGAAACACCACATAATTAGCAATTTGTATAAATCTTCCAAATTCGTGAAAGAATTAGGAGCTAAACAGTGATTGGAGCTTCTTCACAATGCGTTCATCTAGCTGGAAGGCCTTGCTTAGAACATCGACGGAGATAGGTGGCTCAGCCCCAAACACGGCGTTAGCAATAGTGACCACACCAGGGTTTTGGCTGCTTAACCCGGCAATAGCAACAGCAGGAGTTTTTCCAACATTGAATTGGAAATGAATGAGCCCTTGTGGAAAAACAAAAACATCACCTTTGTTAAGCACCTTAGCGAACAACTTGTTATCGCCATTTGGGAGGTTGGAGGTTACGAAACCAACATAGAGGGTTCCTTCCAATACGGTAAGGATTTCACTTGCACGAGGATGAGTGTGAGGGGGATTAAGGCCATAGGGCGCGAAGTCAATCCTAGCCAAAGATATGCCGAGGGTGTTGAGTCCTGGAAGTTGTAACACGGAGACTGGTGTAACATTGAAACCTAGCATGTTGTTAGTGTTTCCTGGCTTGTCTAGCCCTTCGAAAAAGAAATCTTCGGGTTTGGCATCCATTGGATTCTTACAGAAAAATCCATTCACAAACACTGCAAATTAGTTAAAGCCGTTAACATTAATTTGAAAAAAAAAGGGATGCCCCACTTTCTCATGGTAAGAAACAGTACAAAACTTATTTCTCACATGACATTTTCGTAAATAAACCAACAACTTTATTCAATTGTGGAGCGCATAATAATGAAAAAGTCGTTAGAAGTACTAATTGATGAAAATAAAAATTATTCAAATCGTTTGGGATCTATTGTGACCAAAAAAAAAAAAAAAACAAAAAACAAAAAAACTTACGTTCTTTGTTTGGATTAATAATCGCAACACAGAAGTCTTGTAGTTGATTAGGATCCGTCGCATAGGCCACATAAGAAGACATGGCAAAGAAAACAAGGCAAGCAAGAAAATGACGAGCTTCCATTTTTTTTTTTTTTTTTTTTTTTTTTTTTATATTTCTTATGAAATTTGTATATTACACTCAATATATGTGAAGGTTTATTTCAAATTCAAGTTGTGATCTTTGCATGCTAAATGATCCCTTTATATAATTGAGGTTGTTGGGGAAGCTAGTTTTTTTTTTTTTTTTTTTTTTTTTTTTTTTTTTGTGTGTGTGTGTGTGTGCACACGCGGGGCTAGGCCTCAGGGAAGCTCGAATATGGCTCAAAGACGTACGTAAATATGTAGAATTGGTCGTTAATCATGAAACTTTCTTCTCTAGCTAATAGTTTAGTTTTTCAATAAGAGTAGTAATTTAATGTAATGAACTTCTTCACTTAACAGGTAATGACTTTGTCTATATATCATGGCACAGTCAAGTAGGATAATTAAATAGCTATTTCCAATTAGGTTAAAGAATGACATTTTAATGCAATAGACTTTTCATACTTGAATTTTCTAATTATATGAAAAAATTAAAAAAACCCCAATAAAGTTGCAAGTTTATTCTACTTACGTATCTATAGTTCATTTCAAAAAATAGCTTAAACAGTACGTACGAGTTTATCCTAATTACGTATCTATTTTTCATTTCATGAAAAAGCTGGAACAATACATACAAGAAGTAATTATGAGCAAAATTAATTATTTCTTGTGTTTTTTTTAAAAAAAAAAACAATTATTTTCTAACAATTGTTTGATGGAAAATTTAAAAATTAATGCATTAGCCATTAAGAGGGAGGAGCAATAATCCCAAGCAAGTTATACGGAGTATATTTCATTATTGAAAGTTTAAATCACAAGTTATTATGGAGTAGTAGTTTTTGCTTGCAAATTTAATGTATTAGGCCGGGGGGTGGCAGTGATGATGGTTGAAAATTTTATTCAAATTTGTGTTGTTATTTTTTACCAGCTACCAAATGGGTTGTTAATGTATATTGTACTAACTAGGCTCGGATTTAAACAATAGCCTAGACCTCGTGAATTCAAGATTATTGATGTCACTATATTTACTACAAGTACATCTTGATGTTTAGACGTTAAAAACATTTGTGTACTGTCTGCCTTCTTATTCTTCTAGTATTTTGGTTGTTTAGCCGTAGTACAAATTCAAGTACTGAAGCTAACATCGTGCATTCGTGCAACAATAGCTTAGAAAGAAGGGAAGAAGCGGCAGCTGTATCCACTTACTAACATCGTACATCTTCATGTCCACTTGCTTAATAAATTTATATAGTACGAGGTGTACAGTCTAAATATGAGTACTGATAGAATCTATGATAAATATTCTGGATATTATTCTGTATAGAAGGATATAGTGTGTGAAAATTCTGTAAATATCTTTTGAGATATTCTAACATGATTATAACTCATTTTTGTAATCCTATATGAATCAATAAAATACACTCCAATCTAATGAGTTTGAGATTATCTGATCTGACATGGTATCACAATCTAGGTTTTAGATCCAACCTAGCTTCCGCAATATTTTCTCCTTTGTTTTTCTAAGCCCTGTCCGCCACCATCATACTTCCCTAACACCCCCTAGCCAGCCACCATGACTAAGAATGGAGACTCTTCTTCGACTGATTTTCATCCTGCTTTCGGAGTTAAACAATATCAGAAATTCAATCCCTTTAACTCTTTATCATGAGAAGGTTTAATACTCCAATTGGGTTGAGTTATTTGAATGTCATGTCCATGCGTTCAACGTTCTTGATCACATTGACTCCATAACTAAAAAGCCTGCTGATTTATCTAATGCTATATGGAATAGACTTGATTCAGTTTTTAAAAACTAGATCTATGGCACAATTTCTACCGATTTACTAGAAACCGTATTGTGCAAAGGGGATATGGTGCAACAACTTCGGGATAAACTCAAAGCGATTTTTCAAGACAACAAGACTAGTAAGGCGATATATTACCTTGAAAATCAATTTAATAAAATGCATCTTTTGAAATTTTTTGACATATCCTAATATTGTCGGAATTGAAGAATTTAAAGGATCAACTTACCAATGTTGATCATCTTGTGTCGGAACAAAAACTTGTTGTTCGCTTGGTTTCTGGTCTTGTAAGTACAAATTTCGACATCGTTGTTGCAATGATACAACAAACGAAACCCTTGCCGAATTTTGAGACTACCAAGTCTCGCTTATTGCTCAACAATGACTCTAATGATTCAGGATCATTGTTTGTTGCTCAATCCAACGACTCGTCATCCAGCACCACCACGAATCCAGCACAACAGTTACCTACATCGGCAGGCAAGGGTGGTGGTGCAGGTGGTCGAGGCCGAGGCCTTGATAGGGGTCCGCAACAACAGGCCCCTCAGTGGGGCTACGCACCTTACCCGCACCTACAGCAACAGGGGCTACCGCACCTAGGCCTAATCTAGCACAGCAGCACGCCTAGCCGCTCAAGCCTACTACTATACTCGGGGCCCCCGCAACAGCAACAACACTACCAGTCCCAAGGTTCAGAGTATGGTCCGACTATGACTCCGACGGAGCTAGGCAATGCGTTTGCACGCAACCATGGGTTTCCATAATTATGACCCATTTTGGAGCATGGATTCCGGCGAAACTTCTAACATGACTAATTCTTACCCCTTTTATATTTAAGTACACATAGTTATATTCAAGTGGATGGGTAACGGTCAACGCATTCCAATTATGGGTTATGGTCATTTACTATTGCTAATAAATCCCTAAATTTGTGTGGTGTTTATTTTGCTCCAAAATCATCAAAAATCTAATTTCTGTGAGAAAATTTACTTTTGATAATTATGTGGCCATAGAGTTTGATCCTAGTGGTTTTTCTGTGAAGGATCTTCGAACGGGGAAGGTAATAACCAAATGCAGTAGTACGGGGGATCTATATCCAATCACAACTCTGTCATCTTGTCTAGCTACATCTCTCACATCTTTCTCTACTCAAACATGTCACAATCATTTAGGACATCCCGTAACCCCAACTTCAAATTTTCTTAAGAGTCGAAATTTGATTCAATGTAATAAGGAGGTTGACTCCAATATTTACGTAGGTTGTTAATTGGGAAAACATGTTCGTTTGCCTTTTTATAATTTTAATATTAAAACCTTTTCCGCGTTTGATATTATTCATGGTGATTTGTTTAGTTGTCCCATTCGTAGTGAAAAATGTCATAAATACTATTTAGTTTTGTTAGATGATTACACTCATCATATGTGGACCATTCCTTTTGTTTAAAAGTCTCAAGCATTTCAAACTTTTCTTAATTTTCGACAATATGTTCTCACTCATTTTGAGCGTCCTATCAAGTCTTTTCAAAGTGATCATGGTCGTGAATTCGACAATGACAAGTTCAAATTATTTTGTTGATTAGTTTTTCGCTTCTCTTGCCCACACACATCATTCAAAAATGGAAAAACCGAATGTATGATTTGTACGATTAACAATGTTAAGCATACCCTATTATTTCATCATGCTTCTCTTCACCCTAGCTTCTTTTTGGCATCATGCCCTTACGGCAACCTACCTCATTAATATTTTACCTACAAAAGCACTCAATCAAATTACTTCTGCTCAAGTTTGGGGTTGTTGCATCCTACACTCATTTTCGAGTCTTTGTACGTTTTTGTTTTCCAAACCTATCCGCGACTGCTACTCAGATCATAATCTAGCTCCGCGATCTACACCATACATGTTCTTAGGATATCCTTTCGAGCATAGGGGTTACAAATGTCTTGATATCTCCACAAATAATATCATAATTTCCCATCACATTACCTTCGATGAGCATACCCTTCCTTATCGAAATATATATTTTAGCTTTTAAACACTCGGATTATATTTTTTGGGGAACGATGATCCATCGCCATTGATCCAAAATCAACAATTTTTGCACACTCCTTGCTCTCCCCATACGCCTCACACACCCTCTAGGCAGTTGTAGGCAGGCTGCGGTACCCAGCAAGCAGCCGCAACCCACCTGCGGAGCACACTACCCAAGTAGGCAGACCCATCGCATGCTAGAATGCCATCGCCCCAAGAAATGTTGCCAAGGGTAAGCCAAGCGCACGTTGGCAGGCCGACAGCCCAGGCAGCGAGCAAAACTACCCAGTAGAGCCCAGGTGCGACTGTGCGAGCAACACTGCCCACCAGAGCCCAGCACTTGATGCCTCCACACACAGCCCCCTAGTGCTGGCATGCTATCACAACCCACACGACAACCCAGCCCAACTGCAAGCAATATTTCACCCTCTAGCAACACAAACGTATCTTACACACCTCCACCTCTACAAGGTCACTCCTACTCGATCACCACCACTCTCACCCCAAATGCAAACACGGTCCAAACACGACATCTTTAAACCTAACCCCAAGTTTGGTTTAACCTTAATTATATATTATGACTTATTATTACCAACACGACCTACAATAAAGTAAAATTATGGCTACATACAACTGCTTAAATTAGATTTAAAATCTTTTTTTAATATATTAAAAGCAATTAGATAAAGGAAGTTTTAATATTTGTATTTTCTTAAATAGAAAACTCACCAATATAAAGCCAAATTGAAACCAAATTCATTCCCTTAAAAGCCAACTCCTTTATTTGGACATTACTATAATTTGTAATATACAAGAAATCAACTGGTAGGGATGAAGTTTAAAGATTGCATTATTTTGAAGGTTCAAAAGGCAAATGAAATAGCCAATAGTTCTCTCATTTTGTCATTTACTGATTCTATTATAATCTAATGGTTCGTGAAAAAATGAATATAAATTTCATTTCCCCATGTTAATTTTTTACTTCATTCATTTCCAATTGACACATTCTGACTTTTGTCACAATTCACTAACTTTGTTTTAACTAATATTTGTGACTTGTAGGTATACAAAAATTTAGTCATGTAAGATATTGTTAGATTTATTTTAATGTATATTTAATGAAAAATCAAATTTAAGTTTTTTTGTTTTTTTTTTTGTTTTTTTTACAATAATATATTTTTTGTTCCACCCGATTCACCTTTTGGGCTAATCCGAATTCGGGATCATTTTGGATGGTAAGGTTTCAGTCTCCTTCCA